TAGCGTAGCTGGCCCAGCGTTGCTTCAAGTTGGTCGCGTTTGAAGCTCTGGAATCCAAAACAAGAAGCCAAAAACAACGGTCCACCCACTGTACATTTGATATCTTATGCAGTTTTGTGATTGGAGCAGTGGTTCTCTTTTTTTTAGGTCAAGATTTTGGACACATGCTCCCAAACCTGCCAAATAAGCCACAATCCCATAGTTATGGACTTATGGGAGTACTGTAGTACAATAGATATGTATGGAATTGGGTAATCAGGCTATCTTCTGCAAGCACATTGTCATCATCTGGCACAGAGATAGGTTGATTTGAGGTACCCAAAGGTTGATCAGCACTGAGCAGGGTTTTTGTTGTTGCTAGATGAGCTGATTTGGATTGGATCAACTCAAGAGTGTCTTGATTTCTTTCTGGTTCATGTTGGATTGTTTTTTTCCTCTGCCCATGTCTTTATCTGGGCTTTTGAATCCTTGATGTTTGCCATCACTCTTAATATGGGTTGTGTAATATTTGATTGAAAGGGGTGAGTGGTGCTATAGACCAATCACCTTTTAGAAAGTCCTCAAACCTCAGCCTCCCCTACCCCATCCCCCTACCCCCCAGGGGGATTTTCAAAAAAAAAAATAGCACCCAACATTTTGGACACCCAAAAAGTTGTTAGAGAAATATGGTGTCCCCAGGGATTAGCTTTTTCTCTTGATTGAAATTGGGTGTCACAAAAAAATTGTCTCTGTCAAGTCATTGAATTTTCTTATTGGATCTGTGATGAATTGTTCAGCTAACATTTTAGCTGAAGAATGACTTGCGGATCAAATATTTAAAAATCAATGAATTGACTAAAATTAATTTTCACACCTCATTTCAAGAGAGAGTAACCACCAATCCCTGATGTTTTTATTTATCTGAATAAATGAAGTATTCAGTCTGTAACTTGAATTGTTTGCATTATTAGCACTGCTTTAGCCTAAAGCAGTGAGTCTGCTGTGAGTAATGCAAATGGTAAGATGAAGCAACTAGGTGGAGGCACACCTAAAGCAGAAATTCAGCTGTGAGTAACATGAATGGTTACAAAACCACAACCACTACACTTCACAAAGTGGCAAGCATATCAAAAGGACAGACTCAGAGGATTTGGCCCTTCTCTGAAAAGCTTTTTGTGGTAGTCTCACTGCCCTGTGTTTTGCTGTTTGATAACAGGCAACTTATGTATAGATTTTAGCACACAATTTGAAGTGGAAAATAGTGGACATTTGCTTTGCTGGGTACTTTAGCACAATGGTGGGCCCTAACTGTAGTGGTAGTGTAGCTAAAATAAGCTAACATTTAGTGTAGTGTTAGCGCAATTCTGCAAAAGTGTTAGGCTGTTAGCGCAATTCTGCAAATCTGAACTAACACTACACACACAGGGCACCAAAGCTTGTTAGCTTTTAGCGTGATTCCACACATCTGCACCAATGATACACCCACGGGGTGCAAAAAAGCACCCACTATGCTGCATTACAGCACTTTTTAGCCGCCTTTTGGCCTCTTTTGTCGCTAAAATCACTGTAGTGTAGTGTAGCGTAGCAGCCTGCCTTTGGAAGTTTGGTTAGCAGCACTGGATTCACTACAAAAGTGATAGTTGTTGCTTTCAAAAGCAGAGGTGGGGGATTATATTTTTTGTGTGTGTGGAAGATGAGAACAAAAAATATATTATTGTTGTGTAATAATGTATGCAAGATTAGAATGAGATGTAGTTGTGGTGTTGCTCTGTATGTTACTGTACAACTAGTTGTCTTTTTGGTATATTATGAAGTACAAAACCATAACAGATGAGGGCATTGTAGAAAATAATTTAAACAGTAATTTTCAGCACAAGAAGAAACAGATAGTGAAATGTTAGAAATGTTCAATGATCAGTTAAATGGGTATGCTTCAAGTTCACAATTGAATTTAAGATTATTCTTAACAGACTCAAAGACTGACAAACAGTTGTCAAAGCAGCGGTGGGCCGCTACGCTACGCTTTTGGCCCAAAAAGCGTAGCGTAGCGGAACTTTTTCTTTCATAAAAAAAGGGTAGTGTTAGCGTTTTTTTAGCGGTTTTTTGCTACGCTACACTGTGCTACAGCGCTTTTAGCGGAAAAAGCGGCCAAAAACTGCTAAAAACCACTGGGGCACAGCGTAGTGGGCCCTTTTTTGCGGCCCACACGCGTAGCGTTAGCGGTGTCGTGGCAGAATTCCACTACGCTACGCTTAGCGCTAACAGCAATTCCGCTGTGTTACCCTACACTAACCGCTACGGTTAGTGTAGCGGCCCACTGTTGGTCAAAGTCAACTCATTCCTTGAATCTATTAAAAATTCATAGGTGAATACTAATGCACTGCTCAATTTTTTGTGGTTCAAGAGAGCTCCTGGCAGATGTACAGATATCTGAGGCTGCTGAGAATGTTTGCTTGAATGCAGTTGAGGTGCTGGCACAAGCCAAGTAGTCCCTTGCAAGAGATGACAGTATTGGGAATGAACCCAATCGGGACTGAAAAACAAGGCATGAAAGGTGCAGTTGTTTGTTAGTTTTTAGCAGTAAGCAGGACATGATGTGATAATTTGGAGAAATTGAAGAAGGAAAATCAGTGTACCTTCCACCACAACGGAAAATTACCTTTAATTACCAGCAATATGTTTGTTTTATAGAACAATACAATTCATCCTCACTGTAATCATCAATTCTGGGATCAGTCAGAAAAAAAATTATATCTGGTGCCTTCAGGATCTACCCGTTGAGAGGCCTCCTTGATTGGTGGAACGGTCACTGGTTTTAATAAGACTTTTTGTTCCTTGAATTTATTCACAAGAAGCTGTTGAGATGTACAGTCTCCTCCCAGATGTTTATAGCCATCTGCTTTGAGCTCCACAGCAGGAACCCACAAACATCAAGTCACAAGATTTGGTGGAATGGTGGAAAAAAGGTTTCAAAGAATGAATATGAAAAAATAATAATAGAAAACAAGATTTTAAATTCTGTGAAAAAGATAAAAGAAAATCAACTTTTTTTGAAAACTTGAATTTTTGGTTTGAGTGAAAAGTGAACACACAGAGGGCAAGTTTGGAACATGAAAAGATGATTATAAATGGAAAAATATCATCCCAAAAGTTTGAGCATGGTGGGCGGACACCCTGCAGGCAAAATTAGTAGATTGTCAGTACCAGAATGCCACATTTCTTAATGAATGACCCCCTAGACACCCTTTTGAAACCACCAAGTAGTCATTTTTTTCAAAATTTTCACTTCTTATTACTCATTCAAGATCTCATACTATCACTTTGGAGATTTCATCTTTTCCTGAAAGAAATATTAGAGCTGTCAGTTTTTGTGATTTTCCCCTTTTTACTTTTTACAAATTTTATAATCTTGTTTATCATAATTTTTTTTTCATATTCATTCTTTGAGACCCATTTTCCACCATTCCACCAACTATTGTGACTTGAAATTTTTGGGTTCCCGGTGTGGAGCTCAAAACAGATGGCTATAAACATCTGGGAGGAGACTGTACTATGATGAGAAGGGAACTTGTTGGTAAAAAACAGTAATTGCCAAGCTGGATGTAACACTGTTGCCATGAGCTAGATCCTTGTACTTGGTGGCCATTTTGATCATTGGATCATACTTGGCCTCCAAGATGCTGTATTTGCTTGGTTGTTTGAGTTGTCCTAATATCTTGAGCTGTCTTCATGAAGCAAAATTGTGCAAGAGGGTGCATCTACCTCCATTCTCTTGGTTAGTTGCAACAACTCCTTCATGCATTGGATGAAAGTCAGCAAGATAATTTTGATTAACAAGTGTCAATGTGGACATTTCATTTTGAGAACGGTGTTGAGCACTATCCTATTTTCCCACTCCTTTGACAAGAATTCACACCCACTGAAGGATTTACAATTGAGAAAATTATGACAACTAAGAGCATGGATTGCATTAGAATCAAGTAGGGGGTATCAAATATAACCAAATCCACCATTATTTAATTGACTGGTTTGAAAAAATCCACCCTTTTTTAAACATGTTGGTTCTTCATTTAACCCCTTTTAGGGCCCATTAATGCAAAAAAACGTTTTGGGAAAAGTCACTGGTTTCTAAAGGTGGATTTCCTATATTTGATACCCCCTAGTGACTATGTACAATCTTGTATCTGTTGATTTTAGTGATGAAGAAGAAAAGACTCTTTACCTAAGAGCAGGACTAGTCTTACTAGCAACAAGAGTAGTTATGAAAGAAAGAATGGAATGTATTTGTGGCTTCTTTTATGTTTTGAGATAGAAAGAGAATCGAGAAAGAGAGAATTAAGGTGGAAGATGTGAAAGCAAGCAAGATGGAAAAAGGTATCTGTGATGCGCCCAAGAGGACTTGGTCAGTTACGGTCAAGCATTCCTTTTGGGTAAGTCTCTGTTCATACTTAAGATAGGGTCCTGGCTGGTGGGCACAATGATGAGACTCCTAAGTCAAGGGCTTGTTAGATCGTTGTCTGTTAAGGATGAAAGATCACCGATTAGTTCTATGGTCACAAGCGAAGTCATCCTAAAGGGAAGCTTACTCTGTGGTTTGGAGACTAATGCGGTTGGCAAGTGGTTTGGGAGAGATTCAGTGGGAGATGGTTCTGTGGTAATTTTAAGTAAATGAGAAATTGATTTAGTCTGGGGATTGTTATCCTGGACACAAACAATAGGCTCACTATATACTCACAGATCTGACCACTTGCTGTCCTCGGTGGGCAAAAGCAGGTTCTGAATCTCCTGGGGTGTCCCAGATTGGGCACTTTCCCTTGCTGTCATGTGACGCCTTTCATCTGCTTTGGATCAGAAAGAAGGGTTCAAAGCAGGGATGAGTTGTTTTGCTCAGTCTTAGTTGGACTTGTTTGAGCTATCACTTACCGTAAATGGATGAGGCTGGATCAAGCTCCTTGCGACATCTCTTTTGGTTTTTGGGCCGGAACTGGAAATCCGACAACAATTACTCTTCTCAGTTTTGTTTAACAAGGAGTTGGTTGGCAATCTGCATTTGATGTATGTTTGCAAGAATTGTTAATGATTTGAATTGACATGAGTCAGATTTAAGAATGGAAAAAAGACAAAAAATGTGAATTTGCTAACCTTTCTTTCTTTGTAAGCACAATTTCAACTATTGTGCACTATATTCCATCAGATACTGTAGCAACCAATGCTACCTGGACCTTCGTAGACTAGATTATGTGCCTACACCTTGAGCTCAGCGTGTTTTCTGGAGAGATTGCAATAGGGGGGTTCATTATAGCCTTTTGGGCTTATGGCGTCATGATTTTATTCATATTTCTGGTCAAATTATATGCTTAAATTTTATGCTAAAAAGTGGCAGCAGCCAACCACCAACATCCATAAAATTTTCTGGTGGACAACTATCTTATCCGGCCTCGCACTTACTCCTGCCACATCTGTGCATGCGCCTGTCAATACTGATCGACCCACCCGACCCAATCACCCCAATTCAAATCCCACCATGTCCGCCAGTCAGGTATGACCGTCTCACATCTTTTTCTTCTTTTTGGCCTTTGGCCACTATTGATTCATGATTTTTCACCCAACCTCTTCTTCAGGTTGACCCAATTTTGATGAACTTCACCCCTTCGGGTCACTCGTTAAACGTCTCCGATCTCAACCTCGGCACTGAAATTCCTCACCAGTCGGTGGACCAGACCGACTCTCCAAACGACACTACCAGTGGGCCGAGAAAGAAGGGGCCCCACCCACGACGCACCAAGGATGAAATGATCTTGTTCCGCGCAGAACAGGATCGACTCAAGAAGGCCAAATCGCAGGCCAAGGCCAAGGGCAAACGTGGTCGCACATCGCAGCCACGTGGACGACTATCTCGTGGTGTGCAAAATGTGACTGATGGAGATGTACCTTTGACTCGTCCCGCCTCAGCACCACCGGCGTCGCAACCCCCACTTTCTGATTTTAACCCCCCATTTATCACCGAGGATTATGAGAACGTTTGTGGCTACCTGGAGGAGGAAGCGAACTACACCCAACTCTATGGCGATGGCTCCAAGACGACGGTTGGTACAACAAAGGTGACCAAGGCCGCGGCATATGATATCTTTGCGATCTACATCAATGATAATTCGAACCGACGCCTCCACCTCACCGGCAGTCAGCTCCGACAGAGGATCGATGGCTACAAGAAGCGATTCATGAAGGCCAAAGACTGGGCGGAGAACACCGGCGCTGGAATTGAAGAAGGCGATAACCTCCCAACGGTGGCCGACCTCCTGGAGAAGAAGTGTCCCTGTTACGAACGGATGTACGGTATCTTCGGGGGGAAGGCGAACGTGTCCCCTTTGGCTCAGCATGATTCGGGGGCGGGAGCTGGTCTCTATGGCGATGCAGAAGGTCATCCTCAGGGAGAATCACAGGAGGTTTTCTTATCGGGGTGGGAAGACACCCAAGACGAGCTCCCTCTGGACCCGCTGGACACTCCTGGTCTTCATCTCAATGATGACGAGTTGCCGCCTCCCCTCAACCTCAGTGGTACAGCGATGGACGCCTCGCCCTCTCTGATGACTCTGCGATCTTTGGCTCAGAATGGGACCCCGGTTGCCCCTTTTAGCACTCCGGATATCGGTGCAGGGACCCCTGGGGAAAACCGCAGTGGCACCCGTCGGGCCTTTGCCAACCAGCCATCCGCCGACGCGAGCCCCGCAGGACCTCATAGGGAATTGAATCCCGCACGGCACAAGCCATCTCTGGCCTCGGCTTTCGAGAGTTCAAACGCGGATAAGTTCGCGTACCTCAAGGAGCATATGGCTTGGGAGAAACAGAAGGAAGATAAGCGGCTCGAGTGGGAAAAAGAACGATTCAACAAAGAGATCGATCAGGCAAAAATTGGGGCTCAGGCCCATGTTCAACTCGCTCAGACAAAGCTTGCCGCCGCCCAAGATCTGCTCAAAACCGGAACATCTGCTTCTGAGGTCGATGCCCTGTTGAAGACAATCTATGGCTGATCTGTCGTTGCAAGGTAAGTCGGTTACATCCTTGTGCATCTCTCACTGCGCAAGCTGACCATCTTGTATCCTTTCCAGGTACATTCTTTACGCGCCCGGTGTTGGGGCCAACCTTGTCGTCGTCTTACTACCGGCCCCATGGGGCTATATTAGATACGAAATTATATACTTCCCCACTGCTTATCTACCTACCCAACATCATTCCAGCCTGGTTTCTCTTATACCCTCACTGCCTTGCTTATACCCCGTTGTGTCCCTTAAGCATTGTTCCTATTGCCTCACTTATACCCCGTTGTGTGCCTTGAGCATTGTTCCTGCCCAATTCGTCATAAGCAATAAGAAAGATTCAATTGAATAAAAAACCAAGCAAGCATGTGCTTCGGCACCAATTTGCACCGCGCATACCGGTGTGACCTCATTGCGCAAGCCAACCAGCCCTCAGGCCAGTTGTTGGACCCTCTTACAAGTGGTGGCTATCATACCCCCCATGTTTGAACAACCGAGACGTGTGTGGGGCCCATGTGGGTGGACAGCCGTATTGGGCCACCGGCAGATACAGAATGACCTAGGTTATTGAGGCGACCCCTCCCGATTGGGCATCTTGCTGGCCCAGCTTCACACCACACACAAATTAAGCCAGGTGACCATGAGCACTCAATCAACAAATAACAGGACGGCCGACACCACCGGTCAGCCGACCCGCAGGCGATTTGGATGGGAGCAAGATGGGGTCAACGGCGGCTTAACGAGTATTCAACTGCTCCTCCTCTGGATGACTGGTCAAGGAAACTATGCCAGATGGTGGGGAAGCACGTTTGACCGACGCGAGCGCGAGGATGTTTGCACCGAGATTCAGGAGTTCTTCCAGATTCAAGGCAATATCAGACGAGACACCCGAGGTACGATCAATCAAATTGCTCACACCTCAGGTGACAAAAGGGACTAATGAGAAATTTTTCTTATCACAGATATCAATCACAAGATCCTCCTCGTACGGAGGTCTTACGTGGAGGCTCATGAGTTTGTCATGCATGCAACAGGGAATCCTCTGACTCAGGAGCCTATGGTACTAGGTAAGGTCTCAATTGCCCAATCATGGGATCACACTTACAAGTGGGGAAACTTACATGCAATGAAAATGGATGATACAGGGTATGCACGGCGTGTTTGCCCCTACTGGGACTTGCTGGCCCCCGTGATTGGTCCTTTGGAGTACCAACCAGTGGAAGTCATTGAAGACAATGTCACACTTACTGATCCAGCCCCATCGGACAATGACTCCACCAATACCTCTTGAACATGTTCCTCTCTCTGCAACCGGCTCAATTACTATCTATACTTTTGAGCACCTGTTTATTTGCATTACGTTCCGATTCACATAGGTAGTACACCAAGGGAGTAGTTAGTATCTAAACATTTTGATTGGATAGAATCGCGTCGTTCTCTTGCATTATCCTCGTATATGCCATCCCCAGGTGGCCCGGCCTCATCAATGCTGGGGACCAAGACATCCCATGCATCGCCCAGGTGGGCAAGCATGTTATGCAAGGTAATACAGCAGTTAACCCAGCGAATAATCTCCATCATATCGGTCGGCTTCTGGATTGATAATCTTAGGTGTTGGAGAGAAGACCATCGTCCCTTGAGTATACCGATTGTATGTTCATTACGGACCCGGGATCGCGCTAGACAGTAGTTGAACTCGGTGTTCTCTCTAATGTAGGCCGCTGGTGCCTTGTACGCCGGTATGCAATGCACACCCAACTCATAGGCTGAGTTGGCAATCAGATATTGACCTAACAAAAATATTCAGTCAGATAACGATACAAAATCTGGATAAACATCTATTGCTTACCGGGATCAAAGAAACGCTCAGGCTCTTTATGCACCATCATCTTCTTGAATACCATACTGTCCCCGCACGACCCGGGCCAGCCGGTCATATAACCCGTGATGAACCGGTCACAATCACATATTATCTGACAATTGATCGAATACCGCTTTTTTCGGTCAAAGAAAACCTCTCCATCAATTGATGGACGCTGGTACAGTGGAATCGTTGTTCCATCGACAAATCCTATGCAACCTTCAAAGCCTTCGGCCTTCATGACGTCAGAGATTTCCTTTCTTCTATCCTTGTCAGGCCAGAGTACGTAAGTTGAGCCCAGATCGTTGATTGCCCGGATGACCCTGCGACTTGCCTTGATAATGGTACCGCGGCCGACGCTTAAGTTCCTGGAGATTCGTCCAACTGAGGCTCCATTCCCATTGGACCCAAGCCTTTCAAGGGTCAGGGCCAACTGATGCGGCACCGGAAGTTGCGGACGAAAGCTTCCGCTGTGAAAGATAGGGTTGAACGCAATTTGACGTAAGAGCCAGGTGAATCCCGACTTTGTTGTGCGGACCGCCTGCTTGAAATCCTCATCCCGCATGTTGAACAGCTGCCCTAAATCAAATTCTTGACGAGGTATTGGAGGCCAACGGTCGTGCAAGTATCGATTCGACAGGACCAAGTGCAAGAGGTCGGAAACTGTTGCTTCGTCATCAAATAAAACATCCAGCACCAAAGCTCGACCTTGATTTTTCGGGGCCATAGTTGTACCAAGGGAGGGGATTGTTGGAATCTTCAAAGTGGAGTCGATGAGGTCATCCGTCTCCTGCAGGTGGTGGAATATACAAATCATGAAGAGATCACGCAGTACCTGTTGTCGTTCACTATATTTGTGCATCCTGACACGATGGTGGGCTAGTTTTGGTGGGATCCGGTGAGATGTGTTGTATGATTGGGTGGAGTCGGAGGGATAGACAGCGGGTCAATGGCTGGCGGGTCGAGCAGCCTGGGTTTTAGCTGACTTGGTGGAATCGCAACTTGCGTTTCCAAGGCTAAAATTTCCTGGTGCTTCACTCCTGATGAACTAAATTTCACTTATCGTGTTTGGTCCGCAGCATGCTTAAGCCTGCTGGTGGGTCACTTAAAAATTTCTGGCGGGAGGCTATCATGAACCCCCCTAATACAATGGTGCACATATTCAATCTAGATTGTACAGATCTTGGATTTCCATGACAAAAGCTTTGAAAAGTTTGGATCTGGACACCTGTAAATTAATCCTGTATTTGGATTTTCAGATGACCTGGATCCTGTTGTAACCCGGCGAGGGGTTACCGAAGGGTCTCACCTAGGCCCCTCTGCCTTCATGTACATAGTCTATAGCTAGCCTACATACATGAAATACATTCATCATTCGTCTCCTACCTGTCCGTTTCTCATCAGGTTATGAGCTCTTAAAGCATCATCGCTATCAATAATCGACTCACCGTTTCAACAAGGGTAGCTCAGTGTAGAGCGTAATCAGCCCGACATCTTTCATCCAGGTAGCCCAGAGTAGGGTGTAATCGACCTATCAATTTTTTTTTATATCCCGATATTTTCTCCAACACATATCGCTTTGGCCATCTTCAACCTCTGGATTTTCAATCTTCTCCCAACGCCGACAAAGCCAGAACTGAAAACCTAGAATCTTAGCATATTAAGCTACTCCGGATTAGCTCTCCGGGGTATACCTTGTCTAGGACGCTAGACTAAGGGGCCGAAAAGCTTTTGGTTCGACAGTCTAAGTTCTTGGCCCAACCGACCGGACTCTTTTGAAGCCTCGACCAAACAACCTCCGGCTCACCGTTTTTATCCCAAATTCTCCATCGCCGATTTTTTTTTCCTCCCTTTCCACTTTTTTCTTAAACCCGACACCGTCTCCGCTTTCCTTTTCTCTCACCCATACTCCCACCCTATTTCTTTTTCTTCTCCACTCAATTTTTCGTTTCTTCTTTCACGTCCCATATCACCCTCTCCCTATCTCCGACTCCCTTTCCATCACTCTCACCTTCACCTTTCCATTTTCTTTCCCTTTTTTCCTATCTCCCCACCTTTTTTCCTGTCCTTCTTCTATTCAAACATCTCTTCCTTTCCGGAACACGCCGACTCAACATGGACGACCCGAGCATCATCTCCAACAATCCGCAAACCCGGGTCCCCTCAACCTCCACTCCAAACACAACCGCCAACCGGCCGCAGCGCAGGTCTTTTGAAGACCAAAATGAAAACCAACAAACCCTCCAAACAACCCCTTCCGACCCCGCAAACAACCAACCCCACCGTTTGTCAGTTGAGGTCCCGTCTGGAGAACGTCTACCCGGACCGCAAGCATCCCGAAACCTGGCCGATGGTTCCGCGCGAGACCGTCCACCACACGCAACGGAAACCAGTTACGGTGTAAGGAATCCAGATACCCGTGAACATCGCAAAGCCACGTCGGCGGAAGACAGGGCGGCTCGGGTACAACAAGCAGAATTTGACCAACTAGCGGCTAGTTTGATCTCGTCGGTGAACAACCACATCAACGATGTCGACCTCCTCAAGGCCGATGGGTCGAACTTCGCAGCCTGGGAAGATTTTATCGAGGAACGCATGAGGGGAGCGACCGGCGCTGTGTCCTTTTTCAACCGACCGGCACGCAACATCCTTCATGAACGGGTCGGGCGAGCACTCATCATCAACGCCGTCGATAGGTCACTCAGAAGAGGGATTTCGAGACTCACAAGCGCTCATGAAATGTTCACCGATCTCAACCTCCGTTTCAGGTCGGTGAGCCGAGCAGCACAAGTCAGTCTATACAGACAATTGATCTCTTTCAATGTTACCGAGCACTCTTCGACGGCGCAAATGGCCACACACATTGGTGACTTACTCGACGAGATGTCGTCGGCTGGGATTCTCTTCACACGCGAGCATCTAGCCAGACTGGTCCTGCAGAACGGACTCCAAGGCAAACCAGCGCTTCAAGAGGAATTCAACCGTCGGGTTGAATTAGATTTCCAGACGTCGACCGAGGAACGTCCGGCGATGTCGTTTGAGGAAATGATCCGACTGATCGACATCATACGCCGACAACAAAGTTTTCAGTCGTCACACCATGAAACTGTCCGCACCGCCCCCCTAGCAATGCAGACCGAATCACAAGTACCCCCCCAACATGAACAGCAACAGACGGCGGGGTTACCCATGTACCCGGATCATCCTGACAATATACCCGACGCTCATGACTTCATGGCGATTCAGGCAGGACTATGCTGGCAATGCAGATCCCCCGATCATCTACTCAGGAACTGCCCTTTACGTTCTAGGCCGGGCGCATCGCGTGGAAGATTTCGGAACCAAGCCCCCCAGGCGAACCCCAGCCCGATGAGACCAGGCCAAGGTTTCGAATCGTTCTATCCGATTGTCACGCCACCGGGGTTTTCGGCTGTCTATCCCCAGACTCACTCCAATCACCGTCCAGCACACGGACCACTGAACAGCCAGCAAAACTCTCAACCGTCCAATCAACCTCGAGCGGCGGACTACTACCGTCCTCCACAGTATCGCCTCCAACGGGTCAACCCTCCGTCGGAATCCATTGGATCGCAGCGCACGAAACCATCTGCAAATGAGGCCACGGCGAGCACTGACTCAAACAATGAGTCCTATGCACGAATGGTCGAGATTGGAGATGTGGCCGAAGACCTTGCCAACATCCATTTTGATCATGTGCAGGTCGATGCGTCGGACAATGCGCCAATAGTTGACTCAGGTGCGTCCCACCATCTCTGTGGTGACCTCAAGCTTTTATCTAATTTCCGTCATTTCCGTTCTCCCATCCCTTTAAAAGTCGCCACATCCGGAAATCCGGCTTTCATCACGGGCGAAGGAGACCTCACCTTCTCAGGCCTTGACAATCAACGAGTCACCATACACGGTGTGCTGTACTGTGAGCTGGCCCGCTCAACCTTGATATCTCTAGCTGCTCTTCGGAAAGCTAATGCTTATTTCGCATATGACATCAAACAGGACTGCTACATGATCTACTCAAGCAACCATATCCTATGCTTCAAATGTCCATTTGTACCCCGTAAAAACAAATGGATTTTTCCCTGTCCTATTCCCACTAAGACTGTCTCACGTGTTTCAACCCTCTTCAATTGTGTCTCTGTTCCCCCTTCTGATTGCAATTCTATCCCAAAGAGTGACCCAACATTTTGCCCCATTTCGACTGAACTGAGAGTTGACCTACGCAGAAATGCCTTCAAGACCCCGATTGATACTGAACAACCTGAGTCTAACATTCACAGTAACAGCTTAGATAAAAATGAACAGGTACTCCTCTACTGGCACCGACTTTTTGGACATGCCAGCCTGCAGAAAATCAGACAAGTGATCCAAGAGAAACTGTGCAACAACTTACCAACCTCACTCCCAAAGGGCAATCTGAAATGTGATATCTGCGCTAGAAGTAAGAGTTTGAATAAGAATAGACTGACAAGCTCTGACAGACCGGTACAAAAGCTGGAAATAGTTACTGCTGACATTGTTGGACCGTTTGAAGTAGAAACTTTCAACAAAGGCAAATATTTACTGACCATTCGAGACTTGGCAACAGGTTTCAGTGAAGCAAAGATCATGGCGGACAAGTCGCAAGCCTGTGGATTCCTCATCGAAACCATTCTTCGCTGGGAAAGACAATTGTCCGGCAGTGTCAAATGTGTCAGAACCGACAATGGAGGAGAATTCTCCAGCGATGTACTCACCTCTTTTCTTCTACACAGGGGGATCAAAGCCGAACGTGCTCTTCCGTATCACCACTATCAGAATGGAATTATTGAGCGTTTCAACAGGACTCTAGCTGACATGGGTAGAACCATCCTCATCGACAGCGGCATGGGGAAACCATTTTGGGGTTTTGCTTTCATATGGGCATGTGATGTGCTGAATGTGGTACCAAACAAGAGAAGTGGACTGATTACACCTTTTGAAGCTTTTTATGGTTTTAGACCCTCACTCGACAGATCCAGGATTTTTGGTGAAAAGGCTTTTATCCATGTGCCTGAGGAAAAGAGGAAGAAACTCGATGATCGTGGTTTGGAAGGCAGAGTCGTGGCGCACTGTGACGACAGCAAAGGATGGATCTTCTTGCTGAAGGAAACCAACCAACTTGTTGCGGCAGCGGTGGTGGAGTGGTCTGACAAGCGCCCTACACCTTGCAAAACAACAGAAGCCAAGACTCCTCAGCCATCACCAACAAATCCACCTCATTCAGAATCACCGAAGAAAGTTGCAAATCAACAGCCAGCACCACCCGAAATAGTAGCAAGCTCTCCACGACATGATGTGTCTTTCATCGTCAACCAAATGGAGCTTGGTAATTTCCAGGATGAACTAACTTTTGAGAGTCAGGAGCTAATCATCGACAGAATACTTCTAGAGTGTGCTTTCTATGCAGCAACAGTTCCGAAGACTTTCAAACAGGCTCAAAAATCCGTGGCTTGGGCAAATTGGCAGACCGCCATCAATGAGGAACTCAAGAACTTGGACGACATGAAGGTCTGGTCGGTTCGAACAGTTCCGACAGGCCGCACACCTCTGAAAGGTCGATGGGTTTTTGCGGAGAAAACCAACGAGGCTGGGGAAGTGATCCGTTTCAAGGCAAGATATGTCGCAAAAGGATTCACACAAGTGATAGGTCTAGACTATGAATCCACTTTTGCACCAACGGCAACTTTTGTTTCCATGAGACTCATACTAACCATGGCAGCTAAATTTAACTGGCCAGTTTACTCTTTTGATTTTGTTGCAGCATATCTGAATGCTCCTATCGATGAAGAAGTGTGGGTTGAGGCGCCTGAGGGACTCAAAGTTAAACCAGGTGAAGCCATGCTGTTGCACAAAGCACTCTACGGAACAAAACAGGCGGCAAGATGCTGGTGGCTCCACCTCAAGAATGTCCTGGAGGGACTTGGATTCGAAGCAAGCCAATACGACAACAGCCTGTACACTGTCAAACATCGTGATCAAAAAGGAGTCGTCTGGGTTCACGTGGATGACGGGATTGTAACTGGATCCTCAACCGACCTACTCAAATCCCTGGAAGACGGGTTAAAAGGTATGCTCAAGATCAAATGGACCGATGGACTGAATTCAATAGTGGGTCTTGAAGTCAAGCGATCGGAAAAAGGTTTTAGCTTACGACAGCCTAAGCTTATCAACCAAATCCTCGACACACACTGGGATGGCTATACTACACACAAGACCCCACTTCCTCCTTCCCTTGAATTGATTACTGATCCTTCTGGTGACAAGTCCACCTCAACTCAATATCTCTCCATTATAGGCTCACTCAGCTACCTTGCAGTTGGAAGTCGACCCGACATAGCGTTTGCAGTGAACCTACTGGCACGTTTTTCGGCACAACCGGGGACCAATCACTGGAAAGGCGTCAAACATATCATTGGTTATCTGGCAGATTCCCGCGATCTCTATCTCAACCTCTTTCCCGACGATCTTCCAAAACCTCTGAAATGCTTCTGCGACGCGTCTTGGGGCGGCGAATTCGCCAAATCTACTTACGGGATAGTAGTAACCTTTTTTGGATGCCCAGTTCTTTGGACATCCAGGCGTTTTGCCACAATAGCAGCGTCGACTTGCCAAGCGGAATACATGGCCTTAGGAGTGGGAACCAGACAAGTTCTTTGGGTACGACACTTACTCACTGACATTCTCAAACACAACTTCACCGGGTTATTGCATTGCGACAATCAGGCAGCTATAAGGGTCAGTACAGATGACTCTGCAAATAAGAGAGTACGACACGTTGAGAGAGAATACTACCTGACTAATCAAGCTCTACACGAGAAAAAGACTGAACTAATGTGGGTCCCAACGAAGGAGCAACTGGCTGACATGTTTACCAAAGCATTGTCCAGAGAGCCTTTTGAATCCTTCCGGGGGAGAATC